TGGAATAGGATCTTTGTTTTGACCTTGTTAATTTGGAAAATCTTTGGAAATTCTATCAATTGATTTTTAAAATTCTTTCCAGTAAAATGTGTTAATTACCTGCAAAGTGCCCGATCTCAAAAATATAGGCATAAAAAATAAGCCTGAAAACTTAAAAAAATAAGAGCTTATAGACTCTTAGAAAGAGAGATAAGGGAACGATTATAATGCACATTTAAATATTATGATAGAAATAATCATAGGATGTGATGGTGAACTTGGGATTTTTGATCTTAGGAGTTACAGTCACAAACTTCAAAAAAAAAAAAACAAAAAACAAAAAACAAAAAACCACCAGTAAAAGAGACCAAGAAGAACAGTCGGAAATAATTAAATCACCTTTTGTTCCTTCACTATTATGGCAAGAAAAAAAAAGAAAAGAAAAACCAAATGCAGTGAAAGTACAATAGGGAGATTTTCTCTTTATGGTCCAGAGTCCAGATAGTTTCCCTCCAGGTCACCTTTACTGTGTCAGTAATATAGGAAGAAGAATACAAAGAAATGAGGGAAGAGGACCTGTGGATACTGAGGTCAAAGACAGAGAGGAAGAGGGAGATAGAGAATTTGAATGAGAAATATGAATGAAATAGAGAGTGTACCCTTGTGGAAGCTCAACTTTTAATAATCTAACCTACTGTTGTGATGACAAAAGCTCCGTTCCCTAGCACCATGGCTCAGTAAAGCCCTTTGGACTTATGCTACCATATCGACTCTGTTCCTCACTAGGGATAGAGACAGAGGAGGATCCTGGGGGTAGAGAGTACAGACCTGCCTAAAATTAAAATTGTGATGTAGTAATATCAATAATAGAAGTTATTGAGAGGTCACCTATGGGCCAAGAACTACCATAAGCACTTTAAATGAATGATCTTACCAAGTAAGGTAGTGTAGTCCACTCTTGAACAATGACGGGGTGAGGGACCCAACTCCCATGCAGTCAAACATTTGTATGTAACTTTTGACTGCCCCACACCCCACAGCTTAACTACTAATAGTCTACTTTTGACCAGAAGCTTTCCTGTTAACATAAACAGTTGAGATTAACACATATTTTTATATGCTATATGTATTATATACTATATTTTTACAATAAAGTAAGATAGAGAAAATAAAATGTTATTAAGAACATCATAAGAAAGAGAAAAAGATTTCTATTAAGTGGAAGAGGATCATCATAAAGGACTTCATCCTCACTGTCTTCATATTGAGTAGGCTGAGGAGGAGGAGAAAGAAGAGGAGTTGGTCTTATGTCTCAGGGGTGGCAGATGTGGAAGAGGTGGAAAGGGAAGCAGGAGAGGCAGGCACACTCAGTGTAACTTTTATTGAAAAAAATCTGTGTATTAGTGGAACCATGCAGTTCAAACCTGTGTTGTTCAAGGGTCAACTATATTTGTAAAGCCCTTAAACAGTGTCTTGCACATGGTAAGCACTTAATGTATCTGGCTATTGTTATTAGACTAGGACACATGGTAAGTACTTGGTAGGTATTGGCTATTATTATTTAATTATTAATTAAATAATAATCATCACCATTTTCCTGGTAATGTATGGCATAATGAAGTTAAGTAACTTGCTGAAGATCATATAACTAGAAAGAAATGGAATCATTTCTAAGTTGGAGGTGACAGACTGATTAGTGTAGATATAGCATGAATTGCATAATGATTGGTGCTTGAAATATGATGATGCTAGAGAGGAAAGAAAACATGTGCCAAAAGTAGAAGACATTATGATTAAAAAAAGATCTCTTTAGCTTGCTGACTGGTTGGATGAGAAGTAAGAAGACAACTAAGATTTTTAAGCTGATTGACTGGGAAAGGGTAAACCAAATGTAAGAAAATAAGAAAGGACTGGGCATGGTGGCTCGTACCTGTAATCTCAGCGCTTTGGATGATAAGACAGGAGGATTGCTTGAGGTCAGGAGTTCAAGACCAGCCTGGTCAACATAGCAAGATCCTCCCATCTCTAAAAAAAAAAAAAAAAGGAAAAAAAAAAAAAGAAACCAACTTAGCTGGATGTGGTGGTATGCATTTGTAGACCTGTAGTCCTAGCTACCTGGGACCTGGGAGACTGAGCCCAGGCATTCAAGGCTACAGTGAACTACGGTCATGCCAGTGCACCCCAGCCTGAGTGGCAGAGCGAGACCCTCTTTAAAAAAAAAAAAAAAAAGAAGAGGCAAATGCAGTGGCTCACATGTGTAATCCCAGCATTTTGGGAGGCTGAGGTGGGCGGATCATGAGGTCAGGAGTCCGAGACCAGCCTGGCCAATATGGTGAAACCCTGTCTCTACTAAAAATACGAAAATTAGCTGGGCGTAGTGGTGCGCACCTGTAGTCCCAGCTACTCAGGAGGCTGAGGCAGAAGAGACTGTCTCAAAACAAACAAACAAAAAAACAAAAAAAAACCTTTTTATTATTAGGAAGTGATAACAAATTCCATTTTAATCCTGTTGAATTTTTTATCAGGTAGTCAAGTGAAATGACTAGCAGGGAATTTAAAACTAAGTTAGAGATTTAGGTATTATCACTAAAGGAGTTGGTGAAAGCTCTGCCAGTGTTTGAGATGTTCAAGGATAACCAGCGTTTTTCAGCTGCAAAACCCTGGATCAAAAATAGTGTCAGGATAATAGCCTCCAGGCAGAATTTTGACATATTTGTCAACTCTTGCTTTGTAGAAAATCTACAAATAATTCCAGGAATCTTTAACAAAAGGCATGCCATTACTGCTCCAGGGACTGGCTGTTGCCCTGTGTTCACTGTTTTCCTTGCTTCTGCCCCGGTTGCTGTTGTTGTGTCTCCACTGGCTGCTGTCATTGGCTCCTCAGTGAAGGCAGAGAGCCTCAGTTGTTGCTTGGCACCTTTCCTATCACCACAGAAATGGCCACTTCCCGTGGTAGCATTCTTGGAGAGTCAGAACTGAAATCAGCAAGAAACAACCAACTGCATCAAAAAGTGGGCTGAGGCTGGGCGCGGTGGCTCACACCTGTAATTCCAGCACTTTGAGAGGCCAAGGTGGGCAGATCATGAGGTCAGGAGATGGAGACCATCCTGGCTAACATGGTGAAATCCCATCTTTACTAAAATACAAAAAATTAGCTGGGCGTGGTGGCGGGCGCCTGTAGTCCCAGCTACTCAGTAGGCTGAGGCAGGAGAATGGCATGAACCCAGGAGACTGACCTTGCAGTGAGCTGAGGTCGCTCCAGTGAGACTCCATCTCAAAAAACAAACAAACAAACAAAAAAACAACAAAAAAAAATGTGGGCTGAGGACATGAATAGACAGTTCTCAAGAAAAGATATACAAATGGCCAAAAAGCATATGAAAAAATCCTCATCATCTTTAATTATCAGGGAAATACAAATCAAAAGCACAATGCAGTACTACTTCACTCCTGCAAGAATGGCCATAATCAAAAAATAAAAAAAAAATAGATGTTGGTGTGGATGTGGTGAAAAGGAAACACTTTTACAATGTTGGTGGCAGTGTAAACTAGTACAACCACGATGGAAAACAGTGTGGAGGTTCCTTAAATAACTAAAGTAGATCTACCATTTGATCTAGCAATCCTTAGCAATACTAGGTATCTACCCCGAGGAAAATAACTCATTATATGAAAAAGATGTGTGCTTGCACACACATGTTTATAGCAGCATAATTTACAGTTGCTAAAATATGGAACCAGCCCAAATGCCCATCAATCAACGAGTGGATAAAGAAAATGTGGTGTGTGTATATATATATGTATACACACACACACATATGTATATTACTCAGCCATAAAAAGGAACGAAATAATGTTATTCACAGCAATCTGAATGGAACTGGAGACTATTATTCTAAGTGAAGTAAGTCATGAATGGAAAACCAAACGTTGTATATTCTCACTGATATGTGGGAGCTAAACTATGAGGGCACAAAGGCATAAGAATGATACATTGGACTTTGGGGACTCGGGGGAAAATGTGGGTGGTGGTGAGAGATAAAAGCCTACACATTGGGTACAGTGTACAATGCTCGGGTGATAGGTGCACCAGAATCTCAGAAATCACTATTGAAGAACTTAATTCATGTAACCGAACACCCCCTTTTCTTACAAAACCTATTGAAATAAAAAATGAAAAAGAATTGAAAAACAGTGCAAAGGCTGTCTTAGCTCTTCTAATTATTTTGTCCCCCTGTTCTTGCCTCAAGCTTGTTGTTCATTGGATTTGTCTGTACCCCTGTCCAAATGACAGGTATGTTGGTTTCATAGTTCCCCAATCAAATTTTTGTTCCTGTATGGTTCCTGACCTTCAGAAAAATTCTTACACAAAATGTTTCTCAGTTCTTGATCCATTAATCCTCAGGCACAGTTAGACTTCTCTGAATCCTAGGATGAAAGCCCGTTATTAGGCTCAAACTGGGACCAGGACCCGTAGGACATGTGCCCTTTTGAAAAAAGAGAGGTCAAATTGGGAAATCCATACATTTAATAATGATAATTCTATCACATCTTTCTTTTGCCCTCTTCAGTTCTTCATATGACTGTGAAGATTTGTGGATATGACTGTGATTTGGGATTATTTCTTCTTTTCGCGAGATGAAACAATGATGTGTACTGCTGTGGAATTATATTCTATCTGGATGTTTTGTTGGGAGGTTTGACTCACTTCTTCGTCATGTTTTTATATTATTCTTAAGGCTTTTCATACCTCTTTACTGGAGTTTACTAAAGATTTTAATGTCTAGCACATGTTCCTTTCAAATAAGTACTGGCAATTTATTTTTTTCTGGTTCATCTGTGAAGAATCCCAATGAGCCTTTTTGAAAACTCATCATTTGCAGTTACTTTAGAACAGCAATTTATAGAAAGGTACTGTATTAGAAATGTTTTATTTCACTCCACTCGAGCTATGAAGTGCGAGAACCATGAAGATTGAAAAATACAAATGATAGATGTGTCTCTTTCTCCTTATTTTCTAGCCTTCTTTGAATCCTGGGGGGAGCCAGTCATCTGATGTGGTGCTTTTGAACCACTGGAAAGTGAGGAATTTCGAAGTACACCGTGGTGACATTGTATCATTGGTGTAAGTAACTCAGAAGCATACTATATTTGTATATAAAATTATTTATACTTATGCTAATTGAAATGGTAATCCATTGTTAATATCATACTGCCAATTATTAAATTGAATACATGTTAAATATAATGTGTTTTTAAAAAATCAATTTTGCAATGTAACAGTGCTCTAAAAAGAATTTTTTGTGTTTAAAATATGTTAACTGACTAACATATTTGGATTGGGTAAAATGTATTTAATGTTGATTAGAAATTATTAAAAATACATGCATTTAGTATTACTTTGGAATACTTTGAAATTTTGCATTTTGGTAAGCAACTTTTTTGTTACCCCAATGTTTTCTTGGTTTGTATAGATAAAAAGTATCCCTGGAAGGTGATAATTATGACATGAGAATCATTGACATTTATGTACATCAGGAGTTTAACTGAAAAAGGAAGTTTGAAAGACTAGTACTGGATGCTTCTGTTTGGGGCCAAAAGGTGGCACTGTTTCACTGTTACAATATTGTGACTGGTCAGGATCAAAAATTTCATTCCGGTCTTAATGTAGAAAAGGAATGTCAAAGTGTGCATAACTGATAAAATGATATAATACGTAGTCCTAGGACATGCTTAAATGGTTTGGAGATTTTTGTTTGTTTGCTTTAAAAGTAAATTTACACTAGGAAAACTGCAGCCAAACTTGTCTAATTTCTTCTGGTTTCAAATACTTATAAAAATGTTATAGTATGATTCCCTGTTATGCCAGTTAGGGGAAACAATTAATGTAGCAGTGTTACTGCCATTTGATTTGGCTACAGTAAAAACCTGCTACTGGGTAAATACCTTTCCCATTTGTATTTCTGATTCTTGAATTGGAAGGATTTTTTTCTTGTTAGATGGGAACTTAAAATTGTTTGGTAAAAGCACGACATTGTCTGCTTATTTGTACTTAACTTCAGCTAGTGCTTTGTGGAAACAGATATTCTATAAATGTGTTTCTTTCAAGACTATTCTACCAGTATTCATTTGAAGATATATTAACCAACTCTGGTTAGTGACTAATGAAATAAATTCTAGTGGAGTTTTGTATGGCAGACATCCAAGGAGGGGGATTAAATGCTTCTCAGGTTTTGAGTGCTTTTAAAAATATTAACCTGCTCTTTGAAGTGTACTTTTATTTTGTCATTCAGAGTACTATTTTTGCAACCTCCTGAACAACCTTTTCCATGCTGGGTTAGCCTGTCATATGCTCATTATTCTTTTGCCTTTGGTTTGACAAGGTTACATCCTCACTTAGTTGGTGATGGAAAGGATACCCACCCAAGTGAAAGAGGTCACACTATACACAGACAATTGTGCAGTATTTTTTTTCCCTGTGAGAAACATGCTCACTATCTCTAACCAAGTGGACTTGAATAGATAATTGAAAAATAAAACAAGGCTCCTTGATATTCAAGGTTGCATGGGTTCATAAAAGTACCCTGCCATATCATGGAGTATATTAAAAAGAGCACATTACTCTTTTATGTAAATATTCATAGTGACTGATATTTATTATATACATTAACTTCAAAAATATTCTATTCAAATTGGGATTGATATATAAATTATAGCTATTCCAGTTGAACTGTATTTTTTTTCTGGAGACAGAGTCTCGCTCTGTTGCCCAGGCTGGAGTGCAGTGGTGTGACCTCGGCTCATTGCAAGCCCCGCCTCCTGGGTTCAGACTATTCTCCTGCCTCAGCTTCCCGAGTAGCTGGGACTACAGGCACCCGCCACCATGCCTAGCTAATTTTTTGTATTTTTAGTAGAAACGGGTTTCACCCGACCGTGATGGTGATGGTGGTTTCACGAGACCATCCGTGTTAGCCAGGATGGTCTCGATCTCCTGACCTCGTGATCCGCCCACCTCGGCCTCCCAAAGTGCTCGGATTACAGGTGTGAGCCACCGCCCCCGGCCCAGACTGTGTTTTTAGTGACTCAGTTATGTGCTATATCTTTGTCATGTACAAATAACACAAACTTTCACGTGCTTGTTTTTAGGAGGAGCCATTTACATAAAAGAATGCTTAGTTACTAGTATTACATATTTAACAACAGATGATCATGAAGCAATATTGTTACTTTGAGAAAGAAACAAAAAATCTGATGCTAAATTCTTCTTTAGCATTATTTAAAGTCTTTTTTTAGGTCAGGGTCAGGTGACTCAGGCCTGTAATCCTGGCACTTTGGGATGCCAAGGTATGTGGATCCCTTGAGCCCAGGAGTTTGAGACCAGCTCGGGCAACATGGTGAAACCCTGTTTCTACAAAAAATACAAACATTGGCTGGGTTTAGTGATGTGGGCCTATAGTTCTAGCTACCTGGGAGGCTGAGGTAGGAAGATTGATTGAGCCTGGGAGGTCGAGGCTGCAGTACTCTGTGATTGTGCCACTGCACTCCAGCCTGGGTGACAGTGAGACCCTGTCTAAAAAAAAGTATCTTTTTAGTCTTATGAGCAAAAATGCTTTCTAGCCTATATCTGTGTATTTTCATACAAGTTAGAAACTGCTTCATTTTGGAAGATTGATGTTGATTTGATCACAGTTCATAATATACATTTAATTTATGTCAAATATTGAATATTTGCTTTTCTTACACAATGCATCAGTTTGGTTTTAACATAGATGATAATTTTTGTTACTACATTGGAGCATCCTATTTAAGAAATGTGTGACGAATACAGAAATGTGCATTAAAATGTTCAATTTAAAGCTAATTGTAAAATATACTTTGTAATTTTGTTTAGAAATTGATATTAACAGTATACTTCATTGATAAGTAATCTTTGAAAACCTTCTTATATTAAAAAAGTATAACCTTTTTATATTAAAAAAATCTTGAGACAATATATTCAGAATGTGTGGGAATACAACATTTCTACTATAATATTTATGCTTTTCTGGAAAATTTGCAGTTTGCAAATTCTTAAATCAGTAGGGCTTATTCAACTTTATAACCAGAGCACTGATGAAAACAATAACAATCTCAATAAAAATACTAACACAGTTTATAAGACATAAAGTTTCTAATAATTAAACGGCAGTAAAAGTAGTAGTTTACTTAAAACATAAAAGGTGGCGACAGCTTAGTGGTAGGTGGTATAAGGAAGGGTCGAGGCTGTCTGTGGATACAAGGGCAGAAAGACATTATCATCAGAAGTCATAAACAGAGAAAAGCTTGTAAGCTTTGTACAAAATGTTCTGATACCAGAGTTGTATGCTCTCCTCATTGTTTTGTGTTACTTTGTTTTATTTATTTATTTATAAACAAAGATCAGGGTTAACTTTGCAATAGCACTTCTAAGAGAAAGGTTGAATGTATAATACTGATTGCTTCCTGGTTTGCTGCCATTAGTATACGTAGCCTTCAGTTGCCTTTACTAATGAAGCAAAACATTAATGATCTGGGGAAAAAATTACATATGAACCAATGTAACTTCTGCATTACACTGAAATCTTTTCTCCATTTACCAGTTGTCTATGTTAATTCATGTTGCAGAAACACACACTATAGCAAAGCAGACTGTCCTTTCTATTGGAAGGGGTTTTGTTCAGAGTTGGTTGACCAGTGTTGTTTCCTATAGCGTGGGATGTCTGGCAGAGGGAGGTCGGTGCATATTATTTTTTTGCATATCTTTCTTATTTTTCACTGTCTCTTTCTTTCTTGTAAAAAGTTGGTCACAGTGGAGTTATTGTTTAAGTATGTTATTCAGTAGCTATATTTACTTAATAACATTACTGATTGCACAAAATATGATTTGCTGTCATCAAGTCCTCAGTATATGTAGGTGGCATCATACTCTCTTAGTGATTTACAAACTCATAGTGGTGATTAAGGAGGATTTTCTATACCTTGGAATTGACTTTTCATTAACCTGTGTGATGGCCTTCCTGGCTCACGTAAGTTGCACTCTTTCACAATAATATATCACTTAACAAGTTCATTGGGACAGAGGTTCTTTCATAATAAAGTCCTAAATAATCACATTTAAAATTGTTTTAACTTTATTTTACTTTTATTTGTTTTGAAGAAAAGTTGCAAAAATAGTATAGAGAGTTCCCATAAATCCCCTAATGTTAACATTATGTAGAACCATGGTTCAATTACTGAAACCAGTACATCAGTAGAATATTATTAGGTCTAATCTATAGACCTTATTCAAATTTCACCTGTTTTCCCACTAACGTCCTTTTTTTGGGTGAAGATCCTACTCAAGATCCCATATTTTCATTTTTTATTTTTTATGTCTCTCTAGTCACCTTCAGTATATGACAGTTCCTTGATCTTTGTCTTTTATGACATTGACAATTTTGAAGGGTACTGTTCAGTTATTTTGCAGAATGCTGCTCAGCCTCTTTAATGTTTGATGCCAGACTCTCTTCAAATGGAGAAGCACTAATGTTGATGGCAGTTGCTGAGGCTGAGGAAGCTGCAGCAGTGGGAACCCCTGAATGAGGGAGAAACTGTCTGAGTAGGCAGTAGGGCCAGCTGGGGAGGTGGATACCACAGGGGCAGAGGAGAAGGAGATGGTAGGATTTCTCTTTGAGGCATGGTTTTTTTTTAGTTTCTTGGAACCACATACGTGGGTCATGACTACAAGGGTTCAGGGGTTCTAGAAATAAGTCTACTGAGTCAAATTTATAGCTGCTAGGAAGCAAAGAACAGAGCTGTGTGGGTGGGAGAAAAGGCCACAGTTTATAGAGAGCTAGAAAGGAAGGATGAAGGGCTTCCTTTCTCTTCCTTTCCTCTTAATCTGGATCACAGATTTCACTGTATTGAGCCAGTGTTCAGTTCTATAGTAGAAGGTTGGTGTAAGGGAATTCTTTGAATGAGCATGCCTGTAAGTAAGCATTGTGCTAAGTGCTTTGAGTATGCTGTTTTGTTTTTGTTTTTGTTTTTTTTTGAGACGGAGTCTCACTCTGTTGCCCAGGCTGGAGTGCAGTGGCACGATCTGGGCTCACTGCAAGCTCCGCCTCCCGG